CGAGACGCCCTCTTTTTTAATATATAAGCCTGTGAAAATGAATGTATGATAAAGCGAACAGTAGTCACGGTAAGTTTTGGGCGAAGTTATCGAGATTGTGAATCGCTGTGGTTTATAGCGTGTATTATAACAGTTGTTAAGTTTAAAGTGACAAGAAACGTTCTGACTGTGGAATTACTGTGTACTAAAAGTTTGTATCAAGAAAGAATAAACTGGTTTAAACAAAAAGGACTTGTATCGCTGAAGTTCATCGGAAAGAATTTCTTCCGGAAATTAACAAACAAGCAGATACGTAACAGTATAATAGGAAGCGAGGCAATATATGATATATCTGGTTATTTTAGTATGTGTGTAGATAATTATTGAATCAAAGATTTAGCATAAACAAAAACTTACATCAAGCACAGAAACGATGAACTGTTGTTATGAAGAAGTTTGGCCAAAGCATTAAACATGTTTTCCACAATAAAGTTTGTTTAAAAGTAAAATTTAGATTTTATAGGGAAAATGAAAGATAGAATTTTGTAGTTTTTACAATACAATACACAATATTATAACATCAGATTGGATCAGTAGTTTTTCTTAATCTTGGTAGAATAATAGGTTCGATTGGAATAAAGTATAATATATAAGAAAATGGAACATGTGAATCTAAAAGTAATGTCGAAGTTGAAACTTTTTATAACATAACAAAAGTAACAAGATGTCTAAACAACAACCTGATTATCAGATAAAGAAAGATTATTCAACCGATAAACAATGAACACCAAATAACAAAGTGGTACCTAACAAAACTAAAACTTTAATAAGTATATATTAAATTATTGTAAACAATAGATATTTATTAACTTTGTGACATTAGTAAACTAGAAATGATCATTAAATGAGTTTAAAAGGTAAACTTTGTCACTGTACAGATTTACTTTCCACCACAACTATAAATATGTCAATAATTAATACTTACAGAGACTCGTCTTACTTCTTTCTCTCTCTTTTTTTTCTTTTGTAAAAAAATGTTCCAATTGTGCGCATGCTTGTTATTTCTTATTGATGTTTAACTCAACTGAATTGGGGATAGAAGATTACGATATGAAGTACAGTAGTATACAATTCTATATCAGACAGAGAAGTGTGAAAACGTAGCCGTAAATTACACACTTGTTTGT